AGTGTGGTGGTATAAAAGGGTGACACCACTAGAAAACACGAGAAGTTATTTTTCCGGGCGGAGAATAAAGTGGTTTCATAAATTTCTACCGGTCCAGCGTAAATAAAGGAGAACTCGAGAGAAAGAAGTTGAGATTGCATTACCCAAATATGACTCAGAAACATCAGCCTCATATAAAGTTTTCTTGAATAAAATTACTATATCTAATAATTTTATATAAAATCATTGAATTTAAACTAAAACAAAATATAAAGTAAAGTGAGACTTTCTTTCTCCATCTATATAAATATTTTCTCTTTAATCTCAAGAAAATATAATATTTAATTTAAAGTAAGTTTGACAATAGCGTGTGAAGGTGAAAACATTAGCAAAAATGTTGTATTTTCTATTGAAAATATTTAGCACAATAAATGCATTAATAAATATCCATTTCAGTATTAGAGAGAGAAAGAACATAAAGTGAAAATCAAACAATCTCGAATAATGCTATAAATACGCAATAAAAATATAAAATAATAATATTTAAAAGATTATACGCGTGGTTAGATTTTTTGGAAAAAGTAAACTTTTGTAAGAAAAAATAAAATTAAATTTTATAAACTGGATCCATTGTATTGGAATTTTAATCAAAGAGAAAGAATGACTATAACAAGCAATCAACATAAACTTGTCGTCAGTCATAAAGTAGAACGTTTACATATCACCGGAACGATCCGCCGACTTTGCATACGCATACGCGAGCCTAAACATAGGAAGTTGATATAGAAGTCTATTCTTGTAAAACAAATAATCCCTGCAGATCCGAGATACGTATCTGTCTGCGTATTCGAGAGTATTGGTAAAAAATTGAAGAATAAAGCAGAAGAAAAAAAAAAGACAAAAAGTGTAAATTTATATTCTAATCATTCATTCGTTATTTATTGCATTTTAACTAATTTTATATTTTTAAAACGTTATCACAGTATTTATTAAGGTAACGCATGCCCAGTTGTTATATTCATTTGTTTTCATTAATTACTTTCACGTGCAATGAGCCTATTTTCAAAATGCAATATCGATATACGGAAAGACATATTTAAATGTTTGCATTTTAAATTGCTAATAGATAAGAGATAATTTACTAATGAAAAATTATGCTAATATATTATACCAACACCTTATAAATAATATTATAAGTTGAAAAAAAAAACAAAGCAAATTTGTGGAAAACAGCATTAATTATTATCGTACGTAATGAGTCTATCTTTGAAATGCAATCGTCCATATATGAAGGAACATAGAAATATTTAAATATTCGTATTTTAAATTGCTAATAGATAAGATACTTGCTAAGACATAATTACGTTAATATATTAGACCAAAGTCTTATAAATAATATTATAAGTTAAAAAAAAAAACAAGGCACAAATGTGTGGAAAAGGGAACTCGTATTAAAAAGATGCTATGATTGATTAAATTAAGAAAAATCCAAGCAACGCTTTAAAGTTTGCAATATTATTTGTTAATGCATGAAAAAGAAATTTTTATCATGAATTATATTAAAGGATTTTACGGAAAAATATTTTGTAAATCGGGAAAAAATTAAGTTTCGCCAAAAGATATATTAACAAAAATAATATCTTTCAGAATAAAGTAATATTTTCATATGAATTAACATTTGTTTTTAAATTTAAATGAACGCTTATGCGGAGAAAACAAAATACTGAAATAGAATATCGAATTTACGTCCGACGGTAAAACACGGATATAGTTCTATCATAGATAGTATGACATTGTATAGCAACCGATGGGAATCTTGCATTCAAATATAAAATTTTAGATAAATATATCAATATCTATAAATTTTAAAGAATAATTTTAAAAAGAGAATGCATGAAACTCTATGCTTATTAGAAGACTTTTTCTTTTACTCTATTACAAGATGAAATCGTCTGGAAAAAATATATTTTAAAATCTAACATTCTATATATCGCTCTACATATACATATGTATAAATTAAAGAAATTAAAGAATTAAAGAATTATTTAAAATACATGTGCCAAACGAGATAGCTTCTCGCCCAAAAAAGATTAATATCTTATCATCAAAGATTATATTTATATTTGCAATAAAGCGTCCATTAATTTTTGTAGATACTACGTGTATATAAATAAATAGATAATTGAAGTTAAGAGAAAAAGAACCGATATAAACGAGATATGCGAAATAAAAGTCTACGCAGAGGCGGCCTCCTGCCAAGCAGAATATACGGGAGATGCGGAGAGGGTATACGGCTGCAACATCAAGTATCAACAATATTGCTCACGGTCTCGGTCTTTTGACACGCGAAAAATAAGACGAGAACGCGACGGTATCCGCAGAGGAAGGCTCCTGCCCTTCTGGCGGGGCTCTGCTCTCCGACCAACGAGTTCGTTGCAGAAAGAGTCTTGGAATTCAAAATGGCTGTCGCACGCGGGATCGCGAGCCGCTATGCGTGGGCAACCCGGCGAACACCATCTCGCGTTCGTGGCACGTGGTGGTATGTCGCTTAAGAGCGTCACGGCCATGATGATTCTCCGATCCCGAGAATATTTTTCTCTTTCCTTCAGAATCGTTAGTCCGATATATTTGACGAGATAGATAATAAATTATGTATGTCGATTAATTTTCAGATGGAGTTTTTATCCATTTCATTAAAAAAATCTGAGTTATTGCGTGAGAGATTACTGTTAATCTGATTAAACAAATCGTTTTAGAAATTTTTAGATAGACTGATTCATATACTATAATTTTGTAAAATTATGTTATTTTCTTATATTTGTGTTTAATTATTTGAAACTCTGCTGTATGGCACGGTATTATAATTGCAATCGGGTGAAAGTAACAATAGATTCAAAAGAGTAGAAAAATATCAAAGCTGCTGTCTCGCAAACGGCCATGCTGCGCTTCAACGCCATGCTCTCGACGGCAGCCATGCTTTCTAATACAAACTTTGGGAGAGATTTTCCTCCTTTCGGCCATCATGTGTCGACTGATCCGATTCGAATCTGAACTTTCATCATGGAGTACGGTTCAACGGTTGAAATACGTGTCACGACATTAACGCGAGAAGAAAAATGTATTATATTATTATATGCAATTATATTATTAATTTATAGCACATGGAGTGATATATCACTCCAGATCAGAGTATGCATCTATAGATATAGATTTTCCCATGCGAGCAGAGAAACTCGCCATAATCGCCTACTCGTTCGACCACCGCGAGAATACGACATCTCTCTCCTTCTTCCTCTCTCTGTTATTTCTTCTCCAGCTCCCATGGCTTCCCTCGCGCATCTCTCTCTCTCCACCTTTCTCTCCATCTCATTTTTATTCAAATTCATTGGGAAGCTTCTCGGCGCGAGTACTCCCAGTCCGCCCGTTTTACCGGCGCTTCCCTCCTCTCTGTCTGCCCGTTCGTTCCCTTTCTCCCCCTTGTTTTCCATAAATTCAGAATTTTATTTAATCCGCTCTCCACCAGTATGCATCTTTATCCCCACGCACACTGTAGCCAAGCCAAAACTTGAATACGGGAGATCCCGTCCGTTGTATCTTTTAAAGATATCGTACGTTCAGAGCGTATAATCAGAAACATGTCACTATATAAGGTATCCAGATATCGTGGTATCTCCCGAGTTTAATGGATACAAAAGCCTCAACTCTTAAAGAAGAATGCTGTTACCGATGTATTTGTGATTTAGAGCAAATGTCTTTTTCTCCTCAGCAAAAATAATAATATTATCTTAATTATAATT